AGAACTTATCATATGAGTGATTGTCCGTCCATGTCAACTTTTTACTTTTTTTGACTTCTTCTTGAATACTACAAGTCTGATTGCTTTGATTCTTGGTGTATGTACCTTAGGTAGAACTCTCTTAGATTTGTTCATTTCGTGATGATATCTTTAATTCTCTAATTTTGGTAAATATTTTTTTTTGATATTTTCAACTTCTTGTTGAAAACTAAATGTCTGATTGCTTTGATATTATACATATAAGACCTACAGGTTAAATTCTCTCAGATTTATTAATTCTTTGATGATAACTATTCTTTAATTGAAAAGTGCATTGCTAAACAGTGGAGCTATCTCAGCCAAGAGACTGCTTGTTAATAATTGTTTTGTACCCATACTGAACATGATGCTCTGCCACTTTAATTATGCAATTAATCTTTGAAGAATTCAAAGTAGGTGTTAGAAACTCCTCATAAAATTAACTGTCAAAGCTAACTTTTTTTTGTTTGTAATAAAAATTTCTATGTAGACTGTCAACTGGTGTACATGTATGATTTTAATGAACTCTATACACTTGTTTTTTTTTGTCCTAGTTAAGGTCAAAACACTTTTGTTTTGTCAAGTTGTTTGCAGAAAAACAGTGTGCATACATTTTCCCTTTCAGCTTTTGGCTACAAATTATATATCAACAATACATTGATTGACTGGATCTTAGAGGCCTCTTGTATTAGTTGAAATAAAACTGCAAATGTCAGTAAATATGCTTTTTCTTTCCACACTACTCATGTCTGAACATTTACAAAAAAACATGAAAATAACTTGGATTTCCTAATCAATTAAGTGACTAAAAAGCATGTAATTATGAAAAAAAAACGCACCTGCTATCTCCAATAAATACTTTCAGTGGAGGATAAAGGCCATATTGTTCATTTTTTTCTGTAAAACATTGTGCCAAATTTTCTCTCTCTGCTGTGGGTCCAGTACGTGCTACAATTCATATATCAACAATAGATCAACTACATTGACCGGATGTTATAGGCCTCTTGTAATAGTTTTTAATAACAGTGTAGGTGTTAGTGACTTTAACCAGACTACTTGAATTTTATAGATCTGAGTAAGATGATAAATCATCAACCTTTTAAAGGGGACTCTTGAAGGAGGCTTTATAATGTATCTTAGGAGTCATCAAAACACCACAGAATAGTGGCTGAGTACATGTGTATCCTTCCGGGAATAAAAACTTCATTGCTATTTACTCTCCCATTAAATTTTGTGATTTGGAGAAACTATGATATACCCTATTTAACTTATGATAGGTTACACATACAAGTGTGAACTTTTCATAAAGCAAAATACGTGCTATTTTGTATTTACACATGTGAACTTACATAAAACAAATCGCATGCTATTTTATATTTACACATCAGTCAGATTAAAATCTCTATAATGTGTGTGATAAGTTCTGGACATGAAATTCATGAAGGTAATTGCTATATTGATGATATTAGACGATAGTTGGCCATCTCTGAAATCATCTGGCAGGTGGGGGGTTGCTGAAATATTTCAAAAAAAAGTAAAGGTAGACATAAAGAGAAAAAAAAATTGCATGCAAGGTGTTCATGATAGCACATTAAAAAAAAAAAAAAAATTATACAGATTAGACACTGCAAAAAAAAAAAAAAAGCACTTCTCACACTCTTCCATCCACCCCCCCATTTTGATTGGTTGACCCCTTAGTAAGGCTTAACCGTTCTCTGGGCATGCACATGGTGAAAGGAAGTTGGATAATTAGTGAGCAAAATGTTAGAAGAATTTTGCTCACCAATTCAAATATTACAAGAGAACTGGTGATGGTTGTAGAACCATAACTGCCTCAGCTCAAAGATTGTTATGTAATACAGGGGAATGTGAAGGGAAATGTATTGTAATGTTACCTCTGTGTAATTTACAATATATCTGCATTAACCTTCACTGTGAAGGACAATATGGGAGTTGACTTAAATGACTGGTAAAAGCAAGGCTGGTCAAATTCTGCGAAATAGTATTAGAATTTCCAGATTACGCAATCGACACATTGTGAGATATCAAAATATGGATAAAAAGCAAGTGATATTTCCAGAGATGTACCGGTAGTTGGAATTCGAGCAAATTGACTATTAATCCATGAAACATACTCAAACATATCCGTACATATCATCCTGTCTTATTGTGTGTGGGTAAAGCTGTCATGCACACAATCTCAAAAATATGTTATTACTGTAAATAATTATGAACAATAGAAACTGAAAATAAAAACTATGTACAATTAATAAGGAAAATATGTGATTTGCTATGCAGTTTCCAGAAAATTATTACAAGTCCCAGAAGTGCATACGAGTCGTCAAAACGTACAGTTTGGTAACAGAACCCAAATGAGAAGTCTGGATTCACGGCGAATACTTCTAGCGAGTCACCCCTCTAAAAACTTCATTACTGTGCCAATGACATTGAACTTTGCTCTTCCATAAAGCAGCAGTTTTCATCGTCAAATAATCAAAATAAACTTGATACCCTGGCGAAGCATGTCTATTGTTTCACAACGACTGTCCCAGGGGATTTTCATTTTCTCAATTTTTCAAGATAAACGTCCCAGGGTTGTTTTGTGTACTAGAAGGACATGTTTATTGGCAGCATTTCTTGTATTAATTTCCATTGCACACAAAAAAAAGGAAGAAGCAAATACTGTTACTGAAGCACAGAATTTGCATGAATTTTTCTCCCTGGCCATTCACGCAAACTGCAAACGAAGTCTTTTACCTCATCCATAGTTGTTGACACTTTGCAACCGCCTTGATGGATGTATTGTGACGTATTTTGACCCCGGATTCTGACTTTGCGTTCCGGCTACATGTACTGCCTTTTCATACCAGTTCAATTTCCTTTCATTATTACTTCCAAATGTCGTGATATTTAATATTTAAAACTAACCTTTATTTCACAGTCACTTTAGTTTTCACTTTTCTAAAATTATTTTACTGCTCAAAAGACTTTTCACTCCCATCATGCAATTTCCAGTAGTACTTCCGCAGACACAGCGGCGATCGCCAACATATCTACAAATAACCTTGCTCTCAGGAGCTGAGGAATAAAGGAATATTTGTTTTTATGAGAAAAATTAGTCCTTGAAATTACCTACATGTATCAGGTGTTTTTCCCCAATTCATTACAGTGATAAGAATAACCTACTACCAGTACTAAGTAATTGCAGTTAGTCATTAATATTACTATCATCTTCTGGTCATCCACTACATTAAAAAAAGTAAATTAACA